GGTTGGATTTTGATGATTTTTATGGACCGCCGACCAATTTCCGCAATGGGATTAAAATAGCCTAATTTTCCGACCGATATTCCGATTCCACGTACCCAAGAAGTCCCCGAATAGTTCCAAGAGCAAGAAGACCGATCCAGATCGTAGTACAGAACAGTCCAGAATTCCATCCGTTCCTGTTGTCCGTGTAGAGGTACCCGTTGGACATCATAAACCCTCGTTGAGGGTTTTTATGTCACCTTTTGAAGTCCTACACCTGCCTGGTATCTGTACATTTGCTGACGGGCTCCAGTGACAGTACACCGAGCTGCTGTACTCTGCTGTAGCAAGGCTGTAGCCACCCCATAGCTATACACCGTAGCTCAGCTGGAGGAACTACCGAGTTGTTTCAAGATTGTACATCGATTAGAGTAAGACTGTTTAGATTTAGATTTGCTATTTATAAACCATCCTGACTGTATCTAGTATAAGTTAGCTAAGGGGGTTTGACGTCATAGATTTAGTTATTTCTTATTTATTTAAATTCTGATCTAATTTACATTTTCAATCATCTACATTTCCTTTCTCTCTTTTATTTATATATTAGCTTTTTAATATTTTAATAAATTGCTTAATTATTTTTAGTAGTATTATTTACAGTCTAGTCTCATAGTTAAATTAGAGGCACTTAAGTTTAACGAATTATAGTAATATTTGAAGTTCATGGTAGTTGCACTCAACAGTTCGAGATTAGTGTTGAAGTCTACTTAATAGTAACATCTTTTATGCCGAGTTCATAGAGTATAATCTCGTGGCGCTCTTTTATTAAGATCTTTGAACCCCGACCACCCGACTGTTAAAATTAAAAAGCCGATTAAGTAAACTTGTGTTTTATTGAACTTCAAATTAGAAAGGGCGTGGCAAATTATTGCCAACTTTCTCCTATGTCTATATCAACCTGTAATATGAAAACTAATACTAATATATAAAATAATAAACTCATGACAATTTTGTTTGCTGTATCTTTGGTATCATAAAAACAAGTAGGTACTTAATTCTTTTTTTTTTCATTTTAATAAGCAAAAAATGCTCAATGTAGAACAGTCCCTAGTAAACAGTTTTTCAAATTATTGTTTAGTATTTATAGATATTTATTTCTCTCTCGATTTCTGAATGTATTCAAACTGCATAGTTATTGAATCAACGAACTCGACATATATACATACATAATAATATTGCCGTGAGAATGATAATAATAAGCGTTTCCTTTCATGTAAAAATAGATAATTGACTTTTAGCCTACTGTGGGCAGTTAACAATGATTTGATAAAACTGATTTGTTTAATTACGTGCTGGTAATCCGAATGTGAATATGAAAGCAAATAAATTTATAAAATCCCTTGAATTTTTATAAAAAATATACTCTGTTTTTTTTCTCAGGTAAGATTTCGACTGACGATGACAGAAGAAAAGCAGATGACGTCCCATACCAATCTATTTATTTTACTGAAAAAAGTTTCTAATCATCTTTAAGTTAACTATGGATGGGTTTAAATATAAATAGTTTTTAACCAGTTTTATTGGTTTATATCAAAAATGACAGATCGTATTTCAATTTTATTGGTTTGACGGAACGATGAACGACAAACGGACGCCGATGCGTATGAACTCGCCTTTAGATTTTTGACGCTTGCCAAAGTCTTGCCAAATTATAGGTTATAATTTTGTGTCAACTTTTGCCAAATGCCCTGCGTTTTGGAAGATGATGCATTTTGATTCGTGTTATTACGTGTGTTTTGTGTCTTTTGAAGTCAAGTGGAGGAAAAATCGAGTAAAAATTGACTGTAGACCCAGAGCACAGTTTATGGTTAATACTCGCTGCCCAGGCAGAAAGTCTTATACACCAATAAAGTTACCATCAATAAAGTTCGTATACCATCTCGTCGTAGATAAGTGCATCTCGTATATGGTAGAAGGACCATACTAAACAAATACTAAAAACTGGAGTAGCTGTAAAATATCGACATCACACGATAGGTAAATAATGGATTTTAGTACTGCAGAAAAATAATGTCAAAAGGTACTGGTTTAAAAAAATTAAGATTAAAGTTAATTAAACAACCTTTAAAGTATAAAATTTGGTAGGTAAGTGTTATTATTAATAAAATAGTTGTTATTTTTGGAATATTACAAATTTTGTCTCATTGTCACGTAAACCATCCATAAAAGACTGTACTGTTAAGCGCTCCATAACATTTTCGGGCATAGCAGGGTACGCAAGGCAAAAAGGCGGACTATTTCAGCTTGATATTCTCGTAGGGTCTCATGTCCAAAAACACGGTTTGTTTTTGGACATGTTTAAGAAGTTATTGTATAACTTCATTATCTTTTATAGAAAACACCTTGTATGTGAAAGATAACAAACTAGATTAAGGGATAAGAGCTGGTTATAAAAATATCACAAATTTAGAAACAGCATATTTTTATCGTTATATGATAAGATAAATGTTATATTTACATTAGACCACTTAAAATTTAGATAACAAATACTTTATATTTTACTTATTAAGTAGTAATTTCTAATTTTGATATACAATATGCATACAACACAATCGTTAATTTTACAAATATCTAATTAATTAGTAACCTATTAAAATATGTAATTATATATCAATACCTTACTTTGAAAACCTCGAAGTATCCAAAATCTGTTTTCATAGGAGATCCAAAAAACTTTTTGAGCTATATTCATATCTTGAAAAATAAAATTGTCCAGAGATAGCGCAATAACCAAAATAATTCGATAGGATATCTTGATTACTGCGCTATACAGGGTGTTTCAAAACAAATGCGAAAAACTTTAGGGGGTGATTTCTTGTTCAAAATAAAGGGTAGTTTGCTTTATAAACGTTGGGTCAAAAGTCAATCATTAGGGAGATATCGCGGTACAAAGATGGCGGAAAAATAATGTTTTTATTTTTTATCTTGAAAACGAAAAGAGATAGACTAATGAAATTTTATGGAAGCATTACTGTTATGAAAACACACTTTCAGGTAATTTTTTTACTTTTTTAAAATGAGTGGAAGGGGTTGAAATAAACTACCCCTATCATTCTTGTTAACGAAATTTAAAGAAAAATCTTATCAAACACATGCAAATGCTTTAATTTGGATAGTTTAGTTTGTTTAGAAACTTTTTTACCTCTTGTGTTTTTTTGATAAAACTCACCGATTGGAAATTAAAAAATAAAATATAAAGCATTACATGTCAGGACAAAAAACATTTTTAGATTAAGAATCTGCAGCTTTAGATTAAGAATCTAAGGCTGAAAGGTGTCTATAGCCCATTTCAGTTTTTGTTCTGTTATTAATAGCTGGGCCATCTCCCAATCTTCCCTGCGAGGATTGTGGGGTTTGGTCGGAGCTACTTGCGTATCAATAGATATGCTACCTGGAAAGTGTGTATGAAGTAGGAGGTTAGCTCTGTCTTCATTTCCTTCCGTGTAGCTTTGTGTAGTCTAGCTGCATAGGTAGTTGAAGTGATGTTTTCGCAAAAGGATCTGAAGCGCTTTGCCCTTCTAATGTTCTTATTATACTCAGTTAATTTCTCGGTATAGAGCTGCCATTCGCCGCTGGGTTTGGCTCTGTTGAAGAGTCGTCGGACCTTCGATATAAGATTGGCCAGCTTTTTGTTCCACCAGGGCTTGTTGTTACTTTTTTGTATGCTCTTACTTGTGGGGCAACTAGATTCATATGCATCCAATATTGCACCACTGACTTCCCTTGCGTACCATTCTAGATACAGATGGTTCCTAGCCCTACCTGCAGTGTTGTTCAGTGGTCGAATGAACAATGGGCCAATGTTCTCTTCACGGATGAGTCACGCTTTGGAATTCATCCGGATTCGAGAAGGCTTAGGGTATGGAGAGAACTGGGAAATCTTATTCGGTTGGATCATGTTCAGGAAGTGCACCCTTATCAAGGTGGAACAGTTATGGTCTGGGGAGGAGTCCAATTAGGCCGAAAAACCGATCTCGTTTTTCTTGAAAGGTTTCTAACAGGAATCACATATCGTGATTTAATTCTTGAGCCTGTCGTGTTACCATATGCCAATGATTTTGGGAGAAACTTCATTCTCATGCACGACAATGCACGGCCTCATACAGCCAGAGTGGTAAGTGAGTTTATCAATGCTCATCAATTAAACAACTTACCCTGGCCGGCACAATCTCCTGACCTGAACCCCATCGAGCACGTATGGGACGCGGTCCAAAGAAGAATTTTGAGAATGGGTATGCCTCGTGAAACTCGTAGGGATCTGGTTCGGGCCGTGAATGCAGCGTGGCAGGCTGTACCTCAAGAAGAGATCGACAACCTGATCAGGAGCATGGAGAGACGATGTAGGGCTGTAATGAACAGTAGAGGAGGCCATACCCTTTAATAAGTAAAAATGGTTTTATCTTTTTTTTTAATTCACAGTTTAGAATAAAAAAAATGTGTGTATTTTTTTGAGTTCAATAAAAATCAAGGTAAATTTGAAAAGTTCGGTAAATTTCACATTTTTATTTCCAATACGTTCTGTAAACTATTTGTTTATTTTAATTTTATTATATCAGAAATGCAAATAATAAAATTACTGACGATGGCTGGATAAAAATGTAATATCCCAAGACTTTTCCGGTGTGTGTATAATATTATTTACTTATTTAGGACACTCTGTATCTTGTAAAATTATTTTAAATTAGAGCTCTAATAGTCCTTCAACGAACCCAAAACTTACAATTTGTAAAAATCTAATCGTTTAGCTACAATACTCGTGGTATGTGTATGTGGTGAACAATTGAAATGTTAACTTATAGTTGTCATACAATGGAAGTTTTTTTATCATAAACAAAATTACAATTTGTATAAAATTCTTTACTTCTGGTCATGAAACCCGCCATCGCATTTGGCGATAATAACTCTTTGTTATATAGCATCAGTCATATAGATAATGACTGATACGAGATAACACAGATAAAACCTGTGTCGCGAGTCGTGTATTTAGTAGTCGATTCAAGTTGGTTGTTCAATTCGTGTATTAAACAGTACCACCGCGTTGAGACGGTGCGCGCATCTGTCACCCAGCAACGCAATCAACAAGAGTTTTCTCTTCTCTTCTGGTGGTGCACCGATTTGACCGATATTAGTTGGGGCCAGAGCGCGCGAATGGAGGGATCTAGTTCGTCGCCCACCGCGACGACTCGACTTAAACGGTTAGCGAAGACTAGACCCGACTCTTTAAAGATCGATCTTCTGACCATTCCTGAAAACGGATGTGTCAGTTCCTTCGACAAATCGACGGATCCCGTGTCGCACGAAGTGAATGTGCAATTCAGAGATATTTCTTACAGTGTACGCGAAGGATTGTTTACTCGAAGTAAGTGACAAGTAGTAGTTCAGATTACGCAAACAAGCTCTTTTAATTATTAACTCTACCGGGTGTTTTTCAAAAATGGCTCACCTCTACAGGGTTGTTCACCCCATACGACACGGAGTATTATAGCTAAACGATTAGATTTTTACAAATTTTAAGTTTTGGGTTCGTTGAAGGACTATTAGAGCTACAATTTAGAAATAATTTTACAAGATACAGAGTGTCCCAAATAAGTAAAAAATCCTATAGTTGTATTTTTTTAAATGGAACACCCTGTACATTATTCTATTTTTAGATTCTACGATTGAAATAAAGGTAAATTTTATTAAGGTTTATCACACTTAAACCTTACCGTTTTTGAAATATTTTCAATTTTGTGAAATTGCAGTAAAAATTTTAAGGCTTCATTTCTCCAAGGGTATCAAAGTGTTTAATACTAAATATTTACTGAAGTTTATTTATTGATCAGTTATTGTGTTGCAATAATAAAAATATAACGCCCTGTATATTTTAGGAGAATCAGATGCATAATTTAATTGTCTATCAAATTGTATTATACCACTTTTTACCTATCCCTTCAAGTTTTCGTAGAAAATGCATTTTCTTATAATTTAGACCTCATTTATCACCTCACCCATGGAATATTGACATTTTAGATTGTTTTTAAAGCAAAAAATGTACAAAATGAACAGGCTAGTAATATTATCGTTTTTAACAAAATGATAATATCGAGAGAATATCGATTCCCCTCTCACGGATACCCCGTAGCCACAGAACGGACAGGCGTACAGTACGTCTACCCGAGGATGTAAAAAATAATTAATAAAATTTAATTAATTTAATGTATAAAAATATATATAAATATACCACCATTATTTCCGCCAAAATACTAATTAATTACATACTTAATTATGTTCGTGAATAAATTATTCTAAATAAATATGGATTTGAGTCGGAAATCAATATAATAATAAGTTATAAAAATGAATGTCTCTGTTACAAATAAGCATTTGTCAAAAAATGAAATATCATTTTTAAGATGTTACTTTTTACCGCACTGTCTAATACACATAAAAAATTAAGTTTTTTAGTTTTTGGAGCAATTATTATTAATCAACGCAAACAGTCAATAATTAATGTAGTTTGAATACTGGAATTATATTAATTGGTCCTCTTTAACAAATATTTAAACAGTTTTTTTATATTTTTTAATGAAACAAACAAACTATATCAACAATATTAGTATCTGTACTCTTTAAAAATTTGGTACATCTTTAAAAATAATCTAAAATGTCAGTATTCCATGGGTATATTGATAAGTGAATTAAAATTACAAGAAAATGCATTTTCTACGGAAACTTGAAGCTATAGGAAAAAAATGGTATAATACAATTTGATAAACAATTAAATTGTGCATTTGATTCTCATAAAATATACAGGATGTCCTATTTAAATTAAACAAGTTATTGCCGTTTAAAGCTAAAAATTATTTAAAATAAAATTCTAGACACTCTGTATAAGGTAGTATAATTTTTATTATTGCAACATAATAACTGATCAATAAATAAACTTCAGTAAATATTTAGTATTAAAAACTTTGATAACCTTGGAGAAATGAAGCCTTAAAATTTTGATTGCAATTTCACAAAATTGAAAATATTTCAAAAACGGTAAGGTTTAAGTGTAATAAACCTTCATCAAATTTACCTTTATTTTAATCGTAGAAACTAAAAATGTAATAATATACAGGGTGTTCCGTTTAAAAAAATACAACTTTGATATTTTTTATTTATTTGGGACACTCTGTATCTTGTAAAAATGTCGTATGTGGTGAACAACCCAGTATAATTACCAAAATAACATTAGTAAAAGCAAATAATTAAATATAGGTAAACAGACGAAACTAAATCAAAAAATGTAATGGAATAATATCGAACGTAATTATATTTTTTTTTACTTTGTAAACATTATAACACTTGATTTTATAATTTGATTGGGGCTTTCCGGGAAAGTATAATGATTTTTTGAGATCCAGGACTATTACCAAACTCCGGGATTTTCTCCCGTAACGTATATGGGACTCTGTGTATGAATTCCCCAGTCACTAAAATATAAGTATAAATAAAATGTTTTTGATATAAAAATCTAATAGAATTTATGAATAAAATCTTAACTTTATTTTTTAATGATCCAATATCCAATAATCTTATCTAATCACGGTACATAGGTACGAGATTAAATACATGCCTTAAAATGGTCTTGAGATAATTTTTTGTTGCATTTTTATTGTCTTTTTTTCGTCATTTACTTTTTTATGACAAGTGGCTGAGATATACTCCTTGAAATGCTAGAAATGTCTGATTGTCAAATAAGAAGGTATATTGAATGTTGAGCTTGAGTTTTAAAAAAATAAAAAATCGATAAAAAAACTTTTAAGTTAAACGGTTTTATCTTATGTGCACTGAAAACTAGAAAATAATAATAATAATTAGGTATTTTGAACTTCTAGTTCAGAAATATTTTAGTACTAGGCAGAATAGCTTTTAAGCATATTAGACTAAAATAAAAACGTGGGGCCCCTCTGAAATCCTACCTATGGCTTTGCTATGGCAAAGCATATCTTTATACTTTGGTAGATCATGAGCTCGGCGTTCGCTGGTGAAGCCGCCACGGCTGGTTGATTGTCAAAATCTCCAGTTACGATTATAGTAAGTCGATGCAATCCACACTTAGTATTATATTTAGTATAGAAGAAAGTATTACAGCAATAGTTAATGGGCCCCACGTTTTTATTTTAGTCTAATATGCCTAAAAGCTATATTCTGCCTAGTACTAAAATATTTCTGAACTAGAAGTTCAAAATACCTAATTGTTATTATTATTTTCTAGTTTTCAGTGCACATAAGATAAGACCGTTTAACTTAAAAGTTTTTTTACCGATTTTTTATTTTCTAGTTTTAGTATTTAACGGAAATGCCTACCGAATATTCCTCATTCTATTTAATTAATTTAGTGCATCATTATTACATGGTTTTTTACCTGATAATTTATTACAATCCTACCCTCAGGTGTTTCTGACGCTAACAACTCTCTCTGTCTGTCGCGTTCTGATGCTAGCCTAGACTCATGACGCTCAGGTGTTTCTGACGCTAACAACTCTCTCTGTCTCTCTCGTTGTGATGCCAGCCTAGACTCATGACGCTTAGGTGTTTCTGCCACTAACAACTCTCTCTGTCTGTCACGTTGTGATGCTAGCCTGGACTCATGACGCTCAGGTGTTTCTGACTCTACCAGCTGCCTTTGTCTCTCACGTTGTGCTATTAACCTGGCATCATGTTGCTCAGGTGTTTCTGTTGCTAACCGTTCTCTTCGTTTCTGTAGTCGACTATAGGTTTCATTTTCACTTTCTTTTGCACGTTTCGTTCTATACATTTCTTTCGCCTTTTCGAGCCTTCTTTTTCGTTGTGTAGCAGTTTCGTTTTTATTTTTGTTTGTTTTTTTATTTATTGTTTCCATGTTGTTCCCACGAGTAATGGACATTTTAACGGTCGACCCTCCCAGAGGTTCAGTAGAGGGGCTATAATATACAACAAGAGGCGCCCAATCTTGAGGGGAAAACGCTTGCGACATTACATTTTAGCCACCCTAATGCCATACAGTCCCCAGCACGTTTTAACCTATTACCTTAACTTGGGTGGTAAAGGTACCGCTAACTACGTAGGTACATCTAATCACCTATTTTTTTTTATCTGTCCTTCTAACGTCACACAATCTTGGACACAACTGTTCTAGATACGACTACTCATGCCCTCACCTAATACGCCATTTTGTAACGACGTCCATCTTGGATTTTAAATTTTGTCATAATCACAGTATTCTATTAGTGTAGCCCTTTCATTTGATACCCATATTGAGGGGGTTGTGGAAAAATATGAAATCCGCGCCATTTTGTACCGGCGGCCATCTTAGATTTACAATGTTATTGATATTACTATATTGTATTGTCATCGGAACTAAAGGTGTGTACCAAATTTCAGATCAATCTGACAACAGGAAGATACTTAAATTTCAATTTCTAATTTTGACCCAAATAAACAAACAAATTTAATAAATAAATACCGTACGGGTCGAGCTAAATAAAACCGTTTAATAAGCGCTATATAAACGAGATATCAGTATCACTTCTCTACAAAGTAGGATGTCTATATAAAATAAGAGTTTTTTTTTGAGTTGCATCTTTTTAAAACTGAATTACTACCTATTTTCACAGAAGGACCGGTCGACTTAATTAAACTTCTCCTGTACCGCTTCTTCCAGTGCCTCTCTTAATTCATAAGTTCTTTTGTAAACCTTATTGTTAACCATATACCGCATAAAAAAATCTGAAATGGATAGGTGAGGTGATCGAGGAGGCCCATGCAATTGGTCCACCTCTTCCTATCCCTGAGTTTGCATAATTAAGATATAAATAATTTTTGACATTTTTTCATTATGGGGGGGGGGCATAATGAAAGTCATGTTGGATCCACTCTATTGATGCCTTTGAATAAGAAGACTAAGGAAGGAGCATAATGATATCCATGTATTCATGCATGGTGGGCGGAAAAAGGACTCTAGGGTGGGGATCCTTGACAGTTCTGTTTGACGATTCATTTGACACATTTGAATTTGATTTGAAATTTTGTGGATTTGTCAGTCTTTACGGAGCTTATTTTATGTTATTTATTATTTATTCTACTACTGACAGTTGTATAAAGGTAGTAAATCTAGATGGAAATTGTGGCAGAATTTAACAGTGACACTATCGCAATTTATCGAAAAAGACTCTAAATAGTTGGTTGTGTAGCGTGCGGTAGATCTCGGCAAAAATCGAGTGAAATAATGGAACAACTTTTCGCTAGTAAGTGACTATATAATATACATACGTATAGTAAACCGATCATTTATGAAATTCACTTAAATTAACTAATTATATATTTTTTCTTGCATTTTTGCTTTTATTT